GTGATTGAGCTGTATTTGCTCTGACATGCTGATTTATGAATAGGTTAATCTACTTTTAATGTCGAATATTGGCTCACCTAAAAATAACTTAAAAGTAGAGACACATAACAAAACCAAATAACAATGGCAGTAGGGATCTGTTAACCTGTTCTCTGCACTCACTACATTATTCTTCCTTTGAGTATGTTCAGGATTACAGTAACTGATTTTTCTCAAGATGTGAGCACGTGATTTTGCCAGTAACTGTTGGTATCCAACATTTCTGGAGGAAAAAAATACTGAGATTTTAACAGAGTAGTTGCAATATTTTTTACTGATGAAGGTGATGTGGTACTTCTCTGGAGTATGGTAATGTTCATTTTCTCAGTAGGACAGAGGTGTTCAAGATCAAATTGTATCTTTAATCAAAATATATGAATTCCTGAAGGATAGGACTGTAAGACTGCTTTCAAGATCTTGTAGCACCCTGTAGTAACTGAAAGATCTATTTAATCTGACTTTACTTTATGTATTTTACAAATGTAAACAGTTAGAGGGCCAGGAACATTAGCCAAACTTTGTTAATGTGTTTATTAGAGAGTATGTATACGGTCACTGAGATGGTACTCTCCTCAGTTTCTGAAGTCACGTTCACTCGTGCTATGCTTATGAGATTAGGTTCCCTTGGTTGACTAATGAGTAGCAACTCTTGGAATTTTTGTTTTAATTCCATTTAGTACAAAGCTGTACAGTCAGACTGCATTCTCCTCTTACAGATTGTATTTGTAAGTTTGTGCCTGAACCTGATTTTTCCGGGAGCGTAGAGTCTGAGTGAACTCTCAGCTTTTCTGTGATGCATCTTGTCTGCTAGGGCTGGGGAGAAGCCCAAAGTAGATAACAATTACATACACTACCATTTTTGTGTTTAAATGTCAGCATTAATCGAAACAGAAGTGTACAGGCATTGTTGAGTTAGGTCTTGAGACCTGAGATAAAATCTATCTAAGCTTTGCATATACCGAAGAAAGAAAATAGGCTAACCTGGCAGTATAATGGAACTCTTGCAGTTTAATGATGCATGAAAGCAAGGGAGACATATTCTGAAGCAAATTTCCAGGTAACTTTTGCATATTCAATCCTAATTTTTCTTAAGATTTACATAAAAATAAATTTGCACCATCCTTTTAAAGCATACTAGTCAGGATGTTAGGGATGTTAGTGAGTTTGGTAAGCAGACTTAATGAAAATTTGTAGAAACTGTATATATGTACCAACAGATTGGCACCTTATCCTTTCACTCCTCCCTGCAACTCAGATAATCTTAAAATTACTATTATTTTTATTTTTAAATCAACATAGCTGAAGAGTCAGAGAGGCTGGAAGTATTAACACATTTAGCATTTAGAAAAGCAACAATGTGTAGCATGAATGCTTGCTTTTTTTTACCAGAAAATTATTTTAGTTAAGAGTATTAATTCCATTATTTTATTATTCCTGTTTCTAGCACTCAGATAGGCTTTTTATTAGTTTTTTGCTCCATCCTTCAAGAGAATAAAAACTGGAATGTTCTCATGGTTTCTAAACCCTTGATTGCCCAAGGTTAGCCTTATGGTGAGCCCTTCCTGTATTTAATTAATAAAGTGCAAGTATCTCATACCTATTAAATGACTCCCTTGTATCTTCTGTCCCTTAGCCAGTTATTCCTTTCCTACAATTTTCTTTCTGAGATGGTTTTCATTTTTCCAACCAATTTTCCTGTTTCCCTGGGATGCTCTATAACCACCAAACTTGTCTGTATAAGTCCAGTTTAGAATCCTGCTTTCTGTCACAGCTTAAAGATGTAAAGCTTAAGGTGCAGCACCGTTTTGGTCCTGTGTCTGAGATGTGAGCAGCACTGTGCTGCAGAAATGCCAAAGTCATCAAAGCTTTACTGCTACCTCTCTTCATGGAATCTGTACTCAGTATTTTATTTTCATTTCTGCTTTCAGTGAATATTTAGTGAGCTCCGATTACATAATTGAATTTGATAAACTGATGGTATGTGATTGATGAGAAAGGAATAAAAGATTAAAAGATAAAATTACTTCAAGGGTTTAAGTAAATTTTCCAGAGAGCTGAGGTAATTTATAAAGCATACTACATTCTTTATAAAAATATTCCTGTAGGTCTATTAAATTTTAGCTTCTACCAGAATTGGACTGAATTTTGAGAATCATTTTCATGTAAAACCAGCTTGATTGTGATACTTTAAATGGGAGATAGCTCTGAGTGGGTTGCAGCATCACTGGGTTTGGAATATTTGAGCAGGAAATGTAGGGCTGAATGACAGACTTGTGGGCAGCAGTCTTTGTCTTTCAAATAAATCATTTTTTCTTGGAAAGACGTAATTTAGAAGGAGTAAGTGGATAATTCAGAGTTAAATAATGCAGGAGGTTATGCTGCTTGCATCTTGAAATCACTGAAAAATAGAATCAACAAATTACTCATCTAGAGGTTTATAGTGCAGATACCAGTTTCATTGTAACCTCCCTGAATGGCTCAACTTTCTTCAGAAAGGAATAGTTAAACAAGCTCATTTCATGAGCCTTTACGTACTAGCAGGTAAATGTCATTGTTTTCAGGGGACTTGGCACTAATAATTTCAGTTTACCAACTGGACGCTGTTACAACCCCTTCCCCTAAATACCAGCACAACTCCCTGCCGCTGGCTTTTCATCTCCAGAGGAAGCCTGACACCTTTAATCTTGCAAGGGTAGAATGTCTGTCTCCTAACTCCTTTGGGAGACTCCCCGAAATATATGTGAAGCCTCTGAAAGGATTTAACATTTCCTCACCTGTTTAGAAATATCTTTGTAAAAAATTGCTTTTTGCTCTGGGGCAAATAACTATTTCATGCTAATATTGTCTAACTCAGAGTTAAACTTTTCATTATGAAGAATTAAAATATTGGTCGATTTTACCAGCTGTGAGAAAATGGCAATTGAGATAAGACTACTTCACAATATTTGCAGTCATTAAAGCAAAAAGAAAGAAGCTCTGCAGAATATAATCTCATTCATGAATAGAGTGGAGAAGTGCAAAAAACATCTTTGGTTTGCCTAGGTCTATCTGCTAGTTTGGAACTGTTCCTGTTTTCTCATATGTTGAATTGTTATAGCTTCCTGTATATCCAGTTTAAAGAAAATACTGCTGATCTGCACTAGCCATTAATCAATTTGTTTGAAAACCAAATTGTGTAAAATGCTACAAATTGGAAAAGGGCCTTACCTGAAAATACATTAATTCAGTCTGTTAGGTTAGATTTTGTGTAATAGTTTATAAGTATTGCTTTAAGATGATGTGCTTCTTTTCTGCAGAAATAACTATATCTTTCTGAAGTTAAATTCTAAAAACTAGGGAGTCACTTTGTCAGTGCAAATCATCAAACATGTATGCAGCTGATGTTCAACTTTATAGGCAGTTGTAGCAAATAGTTTGGTAACAGCCGATCTGTGCCTCCTTGGCCGCACTCAGCTGAGGCGCAGCTGCTGCCCTGGGACTGTAGGATTAGGCTGGTCATGAGTCTGTGTTACCATGTGGTCTGCTAACTAATCAAAATTCCCTGGTCAGAGGCAAAGCAAAAGATAAGGGCTTGGAGAGGTTGACATCAGCAGGCCAAACTGCATGCCCACTGCTGTCCCCATCTCCAGTGGAACACTGGGGCACCTTGAAGGCCACTGACACCCCTTGCCTTGAGCTCCTTCTTCCCTGATGTGTGTGGTTGCTGTCTTGTGGCTATCAACTGTTAAAGATTATAGGATGTAACCTGAGGATTCAACAATTTCAGACAGCCTTGAATAGTACATGAGGTCATGTCCCCATAAACTGTAAAAGATAGCTTGAACTCTTTAAATAGCAAGTATAAAAATACCTGAGCTTAATCTAAAATAAGTTTTTAAAGAAAGATTAGCAATTTAACGGAATGGTTAGTTGCACTGGGACAAGATTTGTGGTTTTTTTTTGTATTTTATATATAAAAAATACACACACACTGCACTCCTAAAAAGCAGAGTGCAGTAACATCTACCTATTAAATATTATTTCATATTTTGTGTTAAATCTCTGACTTTGAATGTAACTTGTGTATTTTATATATGTACATAAACATGTTAATTTTTATTATAGAAGGTATTTGTAAACTTGTAAGATTAAGTCTGTAGTTCCTACATAGTTACAAGTAGAAATTTGGCATGTAAAGTGTGAAAACCTTCATCTTCCAGAGGTGACAAGGGGCAGGTCTCCAGCAGGTGTAGACTTGTAATAAATCTAGGTTTGAGTGGAGCTTTGGCAATTTACTAGTCAAGAATTTTGCTAGTTGGAGTATTTTGAGCATTTGTGATCCACGGAAGAACAAGAGTTTGAGACTACATCTGACCCTTGAACATTATTGAAGTACCCTAATTCAAAATCTGTTAGTGGTTCCAGGTAATATAGTTTAACACGTTTTGGTTGGCAGTAACATTGAAAAACACATTAATCTTGCAATTTTGTGAGGTGTTTTTTTTCTAAACTCTTTTTTCTGTCAAAATTCTTCATTTACCCTGAGACTTCTCCTGCTGTGATAATCATTTCTATCCAAGATTACTCTTCTGGTTTCTATTCAAGAAATAAAAAAAAAGCTTTGAGTGGATTTAATCCTCACAGAGAAGATGGAAAAAAAAAAAAAGGCAGTTGGGCTGTTCACTGCCTGCCACTGTAGACAATGCTGAAATTCTCGTACACATAGACAGTAAACATGGGCAAAAGCTTGTCTGAGTGGGCACTTCTAAATAAGTACCAAGGACTAAGGTTATCAAGATCTTGTGAATTCTGCCTCTAAAGATAAAGCTTGGTTATGAATATGACAGTGTAAGCCTTAAGAGACAACATGATTCAGTAGTTGTTTTACAATGGCCATTTTGAGAAGAAATGAGCTAAATATCAGTGGCTTATACTATACTCCCTTAAATAGCTTACAAAATCATTTCCTTTTTGTATTTCAGATGATGTTGCACCATACTTCAAGACTGAACCAGGCTTACCCCAGATACACTTGGAAGGAAATCGACTCGTACTTACATGCCTTGCGGAAGGCAGCTGGCCCTTGGAATTTAAGTGGTTACGCAATGACAGTGAAATAACCACCTACTCCAGTGAATATAAGTAAATAAAAGCTATATAATAGCCTTCTCTAAGTGTAATTGCAAAAAAAAGCCAAAACAAACGCCCCCTCCCCGAATCCCCAATACCTCAAAACAGCTTTGTAGATACTGATAAATTGACCATGTTTTTTATCATGAAAGAAGACTGTTTTATGTAAAGAAAAAAAGCTCTTTATGAGAGAATCTTCTTTGCTAAAAATGATATTTCACGCTTCAAAACAAGGGTCCTAACATAGAATTTTTAAGTTCCAAAAATGCTTTTTGCTGGAGATGTAATCTTACATATATTTGTAATAAATAGCAGGCATATTCCTTAGCTAAATGTTGCACATGATGTGCCACTCATCCTTGAGCAAAGCTAAGCTCAATGGGACTATTCTTTTCAATAAGATCTAGAAGAATGTGGTCTATCTTAAACGGCATATGAAACTTTTGGTTTCACTTCTGAGTATGTGAAAATGAACCTTGTAGTTCAACAAACTGTTCTTCTATGATTACACGCTTTGCTCCCAGGACCTCACTGACTCCCTCCCCATTCTGCAAGACATCCCATCAAGCAAGAGAAAAACCATACGGTGGCTAATCAGAGCTACATTTTTGCTGATGGGTAGCAGATGGCTGGCCAAATATCAAAGTGTAAAACAGCCAAGTTTTGTCTGCTTTTCTTTAATGGGAGCATTAACTGGGTCTCACCTATGCAATTGGCAATTTCTATAACCTTATAGAAATCTCCTATTGATGCAATTTATTTGTTTCTTTCAAATTTTGTTGAAATTACCTAGTGAATTCAGAAATTTTAAGGGGTGGGTATGTGACAGATGTAGCCCTTGTGTAACACTTGTATCTTTAGCAAACCAAGATAAATATTGCATTTTTGTAATTACGTTGATTAAGGCAGGGAAAAGATGTGCTTCATCACTACAGAGAGAAATGACAGTATAGATTAGTATAAAAATGCAGATAATGATATAAAGTTCTATATTGTTACACAAGATAGTCCATAATTACTTTTCTCAAAGATTTTCAAAGTTGTAACCTAACATTAGTTCTATGTTCAATATTATTTACATTTACAGAGCAGTAGGGGAAAAAGTCCCCTAAATAACATTTTAAAACTTTTTTTGGTCATTTAGCACATAAAATATTTAGCAACTATGTTTCCAACCAAGCATGGAGTTCTATGAGAACTTTCCTAGAAATTAAAGACTTTTGAATAGGTGTGAGACCTCTTAGTCCTGAGTAATTGCATCTGTTAATGGTTGCTGTTCTCAAGCCTTGAGATACGCTGATGCCTCAAAGTGAGCCATACACACATATGGAAGAGATTTGTGAATACTTTCTAGAAAATTAAAAAAATCTGTAATAGCACAATTAATCACAGAAGGTTTTAGAGTCACTTTGTGTAAATGCCACTTGTTTTGATCAACAACAGCAGAGTCTGTTGTAGTTTCTTGGTAGAAGGAGCTGACAACAGCTCTTAACTGGGTAAGATGCTGAGAAAGCAAGACAAAGAAATGATGTGGGAGGACAAAACACACAAACATGGTGGAATCAACAAAAGGAAAGATTAGAACTCAAGCTTTGTAGATGTGCTAGTCACTGAGAGACTTACATTTCATGATACCAGGAGAAACCGGAATAAGAATGTGTGACATTTTGAAACTAAGATCAGAATGCCACCGTATTTCTTAAATGAGTGCGCATCCTAATACAGAATTATAGTTTTACTGTGTATTGCAGTATAAGTTAGAATCAGTGTATTGGAACACTTTTCCCAAGCTGTATGTATACATATCTGTATACAGGATCTTGTTTCTTATCATTGGACTTAATTTAGTCCAGCGAACATCAGGTCATGATACAAGCTATATTTATTAATTTTAAATTTTTTATATTGTTCTTGTTTCTGTTTCTAATTAAAACACCTCCTGCAGAGGTGTTTAAGAGGATAGGAGACTACTGGTCTGTAATAATAAAATGACATTGAAAGAAAATATTAATTTAGAAGTTGCAGACCTACTACTACTACTATACCACAGTCAGAGATAAGCCAAACAGGATTTTTATTCTATAGAAATGCAAAGCTTTAAGCTTCCAGAAAAGATTATGTGGCATAGGTGCATTAGGATGAATGAAAGCAAGGAGAAGATATGCTTAGACATAAAAATTCCAGTTGCAAAATTTAAACTTTGACCCTATAACAGTTTGCTCTGCAGTTCTCTTGGGTAAATGCTCTGTTTAAATGCATTAATCTTTCCTGTGTAAGTGACTTCTGCTGCAATTTGAATCGTCAGTCGAAGATTTTTGGTAATTGATATTACTTAGTGTGTCTCAGTTAAAGTAATGTCTATATTGTAACAGGCTGAAAATATTCAAAGCTTATTATAACACACCAAGTGAGTAAAGAACTAATTGGAGTCTTTGCATTTTGACATTGGTGACCCTGGATGAACAGCTTTTCTTTGTATAATGATGCTGATTATGTGCACAGCCTGGCTTTTATAGTGACTGTGCATACGCTAGTTTGTATTAAGAACTTATAAAACTACCTTATAAATTCTTTGTTATCTGAGATACATGTAATGAAAACAAATCAATATTTCTGACTTTTTTTCCTTCCCCTCCCCCCCCCCTTTTTTTTTCTTTGTTTTCTTTTGAATTAAGTTCTGGAACAGGTGTATCTTCCATATTTGCTTTTGTAGCCTGAAGACATTCATTTATTTGAATTTAAGAAACTAAGGTTATGTCTAAGCAGCAGTACACTTTTCTCCCGAACTGCTTAAAAGTAAAAAATATCTGATTATTGTATTTGTGATTTTAAAATTAAACATGTTTTAATGTAACTGTGTGTAAAAAAAAAAAAAAAAAAAAAAAAAAAAAAAAAAAAAAACACCAAAAAAAACCCCAAAAAAACCCCCCAAAAAACCAAAAAAACCCCCCAAAAAAACAAAAACAAAAAAAACCACAAAAAAAACAAAACCAAAAACAACAACAAAAAACCCCCCCAAAACCAAAAAACCTGTGTTAGGTCAGTTGATGCATAAGTTACTTGCTAAAGTGTCTGAACAGATAATAAGTTACATGACTATCTAATAAAATACTTTTGGTTTTAATTCTGTCTTGACAATTATGGCTATTAAAAACCTGTAGCCTATAGGTTTGCTTTCAACTCTTAGAGCATTTAAAATTAAAATGAGGGTGTAAATTTTATATTAGGAATGAAATGTAAGTGTTAGCTAGCATTTCTCCTCAGGCATTTGATACTACTTCATCCTTAAAAACTAACTTACTGCAATCCTGGTGATGGAGCATGTTTTGCTCTGGAAGGCTTCCCTTGAAGCTTGCTTTTATGCTTGTTGCTTTACATCTTTCTATAGAAACTTTCTAAACAGCCAGTTTCTGGTTGGCTGTACCATTCAAAACAGAGAAACTGTCTGGTCTGACTTTCTAAAGTACTTGCACAGATCCCCGGAATCCTTACATAGCCTCCTGACATCTATACAATGGGCAGATCTTCTATCTTGAAAGTCAGTGTAGACAAAAATAAAGCAAAATTATGTCTTGTCACTGTAAAAAATTGTATTAACCTTTGATATAAATCCATTTTGTGGAAGAAAGTCTTATTTTGAATTTAGAAAGCACTAGTTGTATCCCTTCTTGCATATCAGAAAATAAGTAGAATGGGGTGAAAGGGTAGCACGAAAAGCAGTATTTTGACTGTTAGGTCAATTAAAAAGTATATTTTTAAAAAATGATCACACATATGAGGTGCATAAAGACTGTTTAAAATTGTAAACATGGAATTAGAAATTTCATGGGTATCTATTTATCTCTTTCCCACATTTGTAACTTTCAAGTTAGTCTCAAATAATGTAAACATATATTGTATCTTTTTCTTTTTTTTTTACTTTTGTTATTTAATTCTTCTAATTTTTTTTGCCTTACCTGCACATTGTTACCCAGTAGGTCCACTGAGAAGCCAACTGCTCGGTAGGTTTGGGCTTGTCTTGGAGTTTCCAAGGTAGATGAGATTTTCACGGTAAACTTTTAAAAGATTTTCTTTTCTTCAGGCAGCATATTAAGAAAAAAAAAAGCTGAAACATTAATGTCAGAAAAGAAAACCAACGTAGGACACTTCTGATCTAATTGATTTGTTTTGTCCTAGTGGCAGAAAAACTAACTCTGCATTACTGTCTTAGTACAGATGAATACCAAAAAAAGAACTCTTTAATTTTGGCTCTATTTTAATAGGCAAGCAGAACAGTAAACGTTAGCTGAGTACAATACTAAATCTTTATGGGGGGAAGAAAAGCTTGTTCAGCTAGAAACTATTTGGTGAAATGTAAAATGAACTGTAAAAATGCATTGTCAATATTTATTTGTCAGAATTTTTTTTTTTTGTAATGATGTTTTGCAACAATTACCTTCCTGGCAGAGAAGGAAACTATTCTGTGAGGAGCTAGGGAAGCCTCATGTCCTATTGATTTCTATCCTATGCCTTATATTTTCACCTATTTTTCTCTGTTTCCTATGGCATACTCATCAGGCAAGAGGCAACATGGCTAATTCAGAGTTTTGTACTCACTGGCCAGCAAGTATTTGTGGGCTAGTTGTTAGGTTTACTGCTCCCAAACAGAGCACTGTTTTGAGTCTTGCTCGTCTTCCCAGATCAAATTGCCGTTAATCACTGGAGAAAATTTGCTGGTTGCTCCAAAGGAGGTTACGAGGAGTCAGCTTAGGCACACAACAGACAGACAACACAATTGTCTACAACTCCTAGGAATCACAGCAGATTGCTAAAATTTGTCCATGGTGTTGGACTCTGTTTTAATTCACTGTTTTGGTTGTCTGACCTATTTGCTATAGCATATTTGCTTGTAATTATAATGGAGTGATTATAGTCTTCATTTATCACTTAAACTAGATTTCTTCTACCTCCTTTGTTTTTATGCTGTCTCTATCTGTTCAGGTATTAAGCTCTTTATGTGGGTGTGTATAGTATATGTGAGTATGAGAGGAGATGCTTTCTTTTAGTGGAATTAAATTTTGAAGATTAAAATTCAGCAGTTTTATTTTTCCTTATCTTTTCATAAAGACTTTCATTAATCCTACCATAATATCTCCAGAAGGTGACCAGGGGAATATGCGCTTTGATTAATGTTTGTTTAATGCAGGATTATCTATATTATTCATGTGTTTTATTCACATTAAAAATGTGCCTATCAGCTCATTTTCATGTTGAGTAATCAGATATAGTTGAGTGAGGAAAGTGAGCATTAGTGGACCAAGTGACTTTTAAGCATAGTGAAGGGCAGAACAAATACAATGTGCAGTGCGCTGTGTCTTTTCCAGCATTCTTCTGAGTAGCAGTGGTTTCACAGTGGAGTAACCATCTTTTTTCCATTGGAAAGCCTTGACAGTTCTTGCAAGTAGTCCTAATGCCTACATTTGGTTTTCAGTCTTCTTGAACCACCTCTGAACAAATTACCAGACATCTTTACCTTATGAATAAGGGCAGATAAAACTAAGGAAAACATTTAAGTCTATATTCCTAGAGAATTTGTGGAGAATGAATTAGTATTTATCAAACGTAGATCTTAAGACTGAAAGATATTTTATGCATTTCAAGTATTTTTTTTCTTCTATATAGTGCAAACAATACGGTAGCCAAAGACCAGAGATTATAGGAGAATGCTGTTTGTAAGAAAAAAATACAATAAGCATTTGAGACAATGTGTGAAATACTAGAGGAGAAATAAGAAATACCACATGAAGTAACGCTGATCTGCCTTTAGGAAGAAGTGTGCTATAATTCTGCATTTTGTCTTGTAGGTACATCATTCCAGCTTTGCAGAGATCTGATGCTGGCTTTTATCAGTGTGTCGTACGGAACAGGATGGGGGCATTGCTGCAAAGAAGATCTGAAGTTCAAGTGGCATGTATGTTTGAATGGAAGTTATTCTGTGATTCGTTAGCTAAGCTATTCTTCTTGTGGGTAAAAGCCCAACATACGAATAACATTTGCTAGTCTGAAAAGTTGTTAGATATCATACTTAATGAATTCTAAAATTATTGCATCACAAGAAGTTTCACACTTACTCTAGTATCTTCTGGGAAACAGTTCAAAGAGATGCAACATTAAGTCTTTAGAGCAAGCTTTGAGCCATTCAAAGCTGTTAAAATGAGATCATTTGGAGATAGCTGTAGCATGAGAAAACTATTATACCTTTCCCTCAGTATACAGGGATTAAGAAAGGCCATATAGCACAAACCAAACAATCAATCAAAGCAACAAAAAAAAACCAAGCCCAGAGGACAGCAGAGGATATCCGAAACAAAACCATATGGTGGAGATAGCTCCATGAAGATTTCAGATCATAATCCTTGTCATACAAAATAAGCAGTTGTTTCACAACAAAAAACTTGCTGATGAAACTTTAGAAGTCTTTTTCTCAACAGCTTTCTGAACCAAAGCCGCCAGTGTTTGTACCGTTTGTTTGGTCTATGCAGAATTTTTGAGTTGACCTCTGATTTGGTATCTAACTTCCATTTGGAAATGTAAAATTGGTTTTGTTAGGAGTTAGTGCTAGTTAACGTGATCTAAGAAATGATCACATACTCTAATTTTCTTTTTTTCAGCTAACATATAGAAAATATAATCCAAGTCACTCGTTTGTAAATAATCATAAAATTAGACCTTATTCTTTTTTCAAAGTAAAAAGGTAAAAAAAAAAATTAAATACACAGATTTGTATACTGTATGTAAGCAATCTGATACATGGATCAAATTTCTCTTCCGCAGGGTTGGTAACTGGAAATTCAGTAGTAGTAAATGTCACTTGATAAGTGGAATTTGGATAAATTGAATTATTTATTAGAAGCCCAATTACAAGAAACGGATTCAAGTTAATCACCGTGTCATGAGGGAAATTACATGGAATTTCCTGTGTTTTAAAATAAAAATAGCTGCAAATGATACTATAGAAGTTTTGGTATCATGTTCATGAGTTTACTGTATTACAGTAAATTATGTTACTATATCTGTAATGTCAGTAATATCAGTAATATGGTGTTTGATCTCTCAGCGGTATTGTTTCAGAGATGCTGGGAGCTAAGGTAAAAATAAACTGCCGCTAAAATAGCGTTTTCCTTCCCTGCCTTCTCCCCCGCCTTGTGATCCTGTGCTTGCTCTGACGTGTGTCAGACCTTTGCAAAGGCTTTTCTGAATATTCTTCTTCTGTTTTAGTGAATTATATCGGGTCACAGAGGATCTAGTGAAAGCTGGTGTGAGTGAGCATAACTATGAGTGGGGTGGGGGACCTCCAACAAGGTTAGAAGGGGAAGATGGAGCTGGGGAAGGTGAGGGTGAGATGCTTCTCATTCTGCAGGAGTAAGCCATTAGATTAGCCTACATGCATCTGGAGTTGCATCTACAGGTGTGGTTTCAGGGCTTTGGTAGCAGTACCGGAGAAAAATGTACCCATTTTCTCCTCCATCCCACTAATTGTTCCCGCTTTTGTGTTGCAATGTAGCACACTATCCT